CAAGGGAGGATTTTATATTATGATCTCTATCATATATGAGATAATATATATATATATATATATATATATAATCTGTAACCTGGAAACGTGAATTAGATTTTAGCTGTGTCTCAAAAATTCGCTTGAGGATGAAATGGAACTAATGTCTTTAATTTAATTACAAAATTAAAAAAGCTTTTAGCTTCCATTTTTGAAACATGGTTAGAACTGTGTAGGAAAAAAAACATATTTTAAATAAATCAATTTATAATATTAATGCTCTGTAAATTTACATTGAGCACTATTTTGTAAAATAAAAATATCTATAAGAACACCGGATTATATATCTTGCTGTTCTTTCTTTTATATATATATATATATATATATATATATATATATATATATATATATCAGGAACAATATTTACAAAAAATACGTTGAAAAATACTTCAAAAAAAAATCTTTACAAAGTGGAAAAAGTACTTGTAACACGGTTCGTTCGAGCATCCTTCGTTCGTGCACAAGTGTAGTCGCCACAACATAAGAAATTTAGTTCGAAAAGGGCGAAACGCGCCAAAAGAATTTTATAAATTTCTATTTAATAATTTTGCACTTTTTGATATATCATTAATATTCATCAGTGAATTAAATACCTTTGTCGAGAGATATTTGAAAAGTATTTGTTGCATAAAATCACACATTATATATATATATATATATATATATATATATATATATATATATATATATATATATATATATATATATATATATATATATATATATATATATATCGCACATGAGCATGTAAAGCTGAATCAACCGTAAGCAGGATTCGTAAATATTAAGTGAGTTTTGACCTGAACTTTTCAACCTGATATGTGGGGAATCTTCAGGGTTAAGTACATTAACCAAAGAGGTCATAACATTTTTCAACAATCTTCCGTTCTGTCTCCCACTCTCCTTTTCTCTGTCTTTCTCACTTGGTGGAAATTTCTCGACTCACTAAACATTGCTTTCAAAATGTTTTTGTAACACACACACACACACACACACACACACACACACACACACACACACACACACACACACACATATATATATATATATATATATATATATATATATAAACGTAAGAAATTTAATTGAACAAGCGCAAATGGGAAGGTCAGTTTGTTTAATTTTTCATTGTATTTTTCTAATTTTCAAATTGATGTTATACATTCAAATCATAGTTTTAGATAAACTGACTAAAATTCATATTTTGTTGTCTTTATTCAAAAGATTTCAACTTCCTCAGTCATTAGTAAGAACACGTTGCTGTCAGTGTGGGAAACAAAATTAATTTGGCTACCTCCATTGTATTTTTGGAAACGCAATAATTCAAATTTACTTATCGTATAAAGAGTAGTTGTATGAAAGCATTCCCCACCTTCTCCTTCGCTTGCCATCTTTTCAGTCCATATAAATTTAGGTTGATTTTAGATTTTGAAGGTGTACAGCACCGGCCACTTGCTAACCAATTAGTTGAAACTGGTTACAAAAGTTTTCTGTTTTGTGACTAGGGCGTCATTACATGTATTTCTAATGACTATATTTATACAATACGTGCTTCTTTGAACTGTAAGCTCCCAAATTGCACGATAGTAAACCCCAAAAATCTTTACTACGATACTGAGATCATTGAATTCTTAATGACTGGCACAGTTGAAAAATAACACAAAATCAAAAACCTTGGACGTTTTATCCTTAATTTTTTAAGATGATTTATATATGGTTTTAAAAAATACAAAAAAAATTAGATCTTTTCGATTGAATTTAACTACACACACACACACTTCATTCATATATATATATATATATATATATATTCAACCAACACTCAAAAATTTTATTGCGATTATAACAATAACATTTAATGCCACAACTAATTTCCCGTCAGTTCGTTTATATTGAAACACTTGTTTTGTAAAAAATTACATAACACCAACGGATAAATTTTAAAATAATTATAACAGCGCGTTCATGCGTGCTTTTAAAAATCGCCACTACACGGAATGCAGATTTTATCGCAGTTACAATAAATTTGTTTTTGCAATTTACCCCTGAAGATGATCTTAGAAAAGATCGAAAGTACTTTGGTTAGAAAAAAACCTATGGCGCTTTCCTTGATAAATTGCAACAACATCAACGAACCGATTAGAGAATTGGAAAGGATCACTATAAAAATAAGTAATATCTATATTATTCAATGAAACATGCTTGAATGAAGATATGCTGCCTAAATATATATATATATATATATCCGTTACTGTTTTTACACATGCGTTGTGATTACTTTCTTGTCGTTGATTAGAAATGCATCAATAATCGCTAGTTTAATAATTATTTATTTTTAATCATTTCAGTTAAGATTTTAATTATGCAATAATGGTTTCTAGAATATTCACGTGAGAAATAATTTTATAACTTTAAAATTTTATAATTAATTCCTATCCGATTTTTGGTCGCTACTTGCTAACTTTCAGTTGTTTCAATGGAAATATAACACTCGCTAAAAAAAAAGTCCAGATAAAGATTACACCAGCAAAGGAAACTCAAATAATCAAAGGAGAAAAATAATTGAAGTAACGATAATTTTGAATGTTAAAGAACCTTTATTTATTTATTTTATGTTTTGTAACTTGAACATAAGATGACCTTAGCAGTAATATCTAGAAACTGTTATCGAAGAATCATACTTAATGGAGAACTTGCTAATATATGATGATAGTGTAGAATATAGATTTTATACGAAGATGTTTCCGAGAGAATGTATACACTGAAAAATCTTTGTAAAAGTCTGTATTCCACTAAAAGCATTCTTTCTTGCGCCACATTAAGTATATATACACACACGAAACCATCTTACCCACAACAAATTCTTCACACAAGTACTCGTAAAAAAGTTACACGGTGCTTTTTGAAATTCACTTTTCTTTTTATATTTTCCTTTCTGATTTTGAGGAAGCTATTCTTGCTATACCTTTGCGATTGCTTTTCCGTTTTCCAGCATCATCTCTCATTCAAAACGCCTTTTTCTTCTTTTTAAGCACACACACACACACACACACACACACACACACACACACACACACACACACACACACACACACACGTGCTTCGCATACTTTCTTTCTAAATGTACGGTCGGAATGGTAAAATTTTCTACAGAGCATTTTGGCTGTGAACAACAACAGCGACCGTCTATCTGCTAACCAGCTTAAGACAATCGAAGAAAAAATGAAAAAGGGTTTTTTTTTTAAATTTTTTTCTACTTAAGGTTAGGAGTTGAGCGTGGTTCTGTGGGAAGACCATTGATCTAATCGTGGTAAAATCGATGTAAATTGATTGATTTGTGTGCAAAAGCGCTGAGCAAAAATGGTTTTATTTTGAAACAAGGAATTGGCAAGAAACCACATTTTTATATTGAAAGAAAAACTAATTTCGATTAGAAATTATTGACCGTGTTGTATTGGTTTTATCAAAAATTGCATCCAATTGATCCAAGAAACAGATCATTTATAATAGTTGAAACAACAGTCTTAATATAAGAATAATCGTACAATTTAGACCAGAGTTTGACGCTTTCCAGAGATCATACTTTTTCAAATACATTGTATAGAAGAATGTTCGAACTTACGACATATCTAATTTTATTTAATAAAACTCTGAATAATATACACATACATATGAAGTGTGAACATATTATCTTGATGTGCTCGCGAAACTACGTAGTAGGCATGACTGAACCAACACAACTCAGTGATAAATTTTCCAGATTTATTCTATTAATGGTCTATCCTAACTTTTTATATCGCGCACTTTATGACAAAAACCTGCGTGACCAAAAGGCTTTTCCACCCGGAAAATGAATTAGCAATTCTGGTACTTAATACTATACTATACTATACTATATATGTGGCAGGGTTTCCTGCTGTGTATGTAGTGATACTTGATAAAATACAAAAAAGAATCTGCAATGTTATTGGTCCTGTTTTGTTTTCAGTCACTTCTACACCGCCGTAACGTAGCTTCTCTGTGCCTTTTCTATAAAGACTTTCATGGTAATTGCTCAGATGAACTTTCTTCTATGGTACCTAGATGTTATGAATTAATGTAGAGTAATAGATTGGCGGCAAGGTCTCATCATTTTTACAGTTGAAATTACTAGATATAGTTTTATGTTAATAATTTCTTCTATCGCGCTTCTGGCTTATAGAACTCTTCTGGCTCCTTGCTTCGCAGTCATCTTTAATCTTCAAAAATTTAAATGCAATATCAATCGTTGTCTTCTGTCTTAACTTCTGTTTTTTTTTATTGTTCACCCTCCTGAATTTTTTTTCTCATATTCTTTCACACTCAGCAATCCCTGGTATCTTAGTGGCTTTATTGCATTGCTTTGGGATGAAATGATCAATATACAAGATATAAAATATAAAAATACATTATTTAATATTTACTGATCATGTGACTTTTTATATTTTATATTGCTTGGTATAATCTGTATATTATAATTTACATTGGGCATTGTGTTACTGTAGCAATTGACAATTTTTTTATTGTTATAAAATGATATCTATATAAATCATTTATTAATCGATCAAATGACACCTATAAAAACGCAGGGAGGAAAAGAACTGGTAAAGATTGGGAACAAGTGTTTGCCATTTATTTTTATTAAATCAATTTTGTGCCTACTACTTTATTTCAAGAGCAAAAGTAAAGTATTAGAGTTTAGTAATATTTTAATATTTCTTAATACGCAAAGTGTTAAACATAACAACTATGCTATATAACACTTTCGAATAATAGTAATAAAAATGCTAAATGCTAGTAACTTTCAACGAATGTCGCGATTTAAACCTTCTAAAATGTATTCACTGTACTTATGTGTTGGCAATAACAAAAGCAAAATAAATCCATAAGTAGGAAATAATTTTATTTTTTAACAAAAATTTGCATTCCAGTTTAAAAAAAAGATGGTGCTATCTTGTACCCTCTCTTTGTCTCTGTGTGTTGATCTCTCTCTCTCTCTCTCTCTCTCTCTCATTTCTCTCTCATTGTCTATTGGTCTCTCACCCTTTGTGTATCGGTATATCTCTCTCTCTTTATCTTTCAGTGTCTTTATGAATCGTTTTTTTTTTCTTTTTCCCTTTCTGTCTTTGTCTGTTGCACTCTCCCTATCTCTCTGTGTCTTTTTTTTTTGTTGATCTCTTTCTCTATCTTTGTCTTGTTCTTTCTCTGTGGATTTCTCTCTCTCTCTCTCTCTTTCTCACTCTCTCGGTCTCTCTCTCTCTCAGTCTATATATCATATATGTTGGTTCCTTTCTCTCTCTCTCTCTCTCTCTCACACACACACACACACACACACACACACACACACACACACACACACACACACACACACACACACACACATATATATATATATATATATATATATATATATATATAAAATGATACTACTAATCTTATAAATATAAGTAGCTATACTCGTCCGGCAAAACCTTAGGTGTTTTAGATTGTAAATGAACAAACCAATACCCAAGGGTAAAAAGAAGGGTAAAAAAAAAGAAAGAACCATGAACATGTAAATAATCGTCTAGAATCTAAGTTCAGAGTTCAAAGTAAAATAACTAAGCAAAGTGCTCAATACGCTAAGTAGAGCAAAATAAGTAAATAAACCTAAAGAGCCAGACTAACCTACCTAGGTTTCACCTACGAGGATCGTAGTATTAGTATTAGTATATATATATATATATATATATAGTGTGTGTGTGTGTATGTGTTGGTCTCTCTCTCTCTCTCTTTCTCACTCTGTGTTCTTACTCTCTCGGACTCTCTCTCTCTCTCTCTCTCTCTCTGTCTATATATTATATATGTTGGTCTATTTCTCTCTCTCTCACATATATATATATATATATATATGTGTGTGTGTGTGTGTGTGTGTGTGTTGGTCTCTCTCTCTCTGTCTTTCAATACCGGTGATAGATGGATGCAACGAGCTCAAAAGATTGACAGGCGGACATAAAGACGGACACACAAAACCACCAGACATATAGACAGACGTGGTAGTTTGAATGAAGGAGAGACAGCAGGACCCAATAGTTTAACTGACAGACGGTGCTGCCTGCAAGATATGCTGTCAATACACTGATGGTTCAGACGACGAACGATTTGAAGAATGCCATTGGTCTTAGAACTCTTTGTGTGGAAAGGTTGAAAAATTGTTCTCTGCGAAGTGTCTGTCATCAAATAGTAATAAATCACCATTGAAAAGCAATTCATTTTTTAACATATTCTATTTCTGTAGATTGTCGTCTCATACACATTATTGTAATATTAAAAGGAGCAATCTCCGTGGTATCTGTCATATTTTCCATATGAAAATAATTCCAAATAAAAAAATCAATTAAACCACTTGAAATATGAATTTTGAAGCAATTAAGCCAAGAGGAATTAAGCTATTACTAAAGTGCCTACACGAAAATGTGCAAGTGGATCATTATAGTTCAAATTTGAGATATTAGTATTAATAACGTATATACTAAAATATACTCGGCCCATTACCATTGCAAGAATTATAATACAAAGTACTTAAAACGTCTGATGGAGCGTCAGCAGTCTTGATAATGTTCAAGAAATTTTACAGAATTTGGTATCAAATGAGACTCACAGAATAGATGGTGCATTCTGAAAGCTCCTGAATAATCTGATAATAACTCTAACATAATAGATAGAAAAAAAAAACCAATCATAACGTTACTGCACGTATCAAATTAGAAAATATTTTAAATCTAAATTTAATAATGACTGAGCAATCAATAAATGGATATCAAAGAACAAAGTTATGGAACAATATTCAAATCTCAAAATATATTTCAAGTTCAAAAGTAGAATTACTGAGTATAAGCCGAAAAGCTCTTTGTTTAAATCATGCATATAAAATAGATGTAAGTTTATGAAAATGTCCAGTGTTTTTAGTTTAGAAGCGTTGCAGTTTAATAATTTATAAAACTATAGTCAGTTCATTATATATCGACCATGCCTTTTGAAATAAGATATTTAATGTTTTGCGCCTATGAGCAGATACCGCAAAATACAAAGAATTCTATAGATAACCCTAAAATCAGTTTATAAGGAGTGTTATATAATATTCAACAATCTTATTTAGTTAATAACTTTGTGGCTTTTTGATCTTAAAAGTTTCTATTACACGTGCAAATATTTAAATGCAGCTCAATGCTTCAGTATATACAACACATATTCCGATAAATTCTTAATAATACTTTAATAAACCATAAAATTGCAACAGTGTTATTTAAATTGTAGTTTACAAAATCAATTAGCAGTTCAATAGAGATCAGTAGAGAAAAATATTGATAGACAAGTAGACAAATATGATCAGAATAGACAGTCTGATAGTCTTAGAGGTAAACAGGTATGTTCCCGATGTCTACATCGACAGAGGATAAGAACGTACTTTTATTGATGCTATCCAGAGAAGGTGGGTAGAGACGAATCTCTTGGGTCTGAATTCTTCCTTTTCGAAAGCATCGGTGAGAGACAGCGGATGTTCAGTTTTGGAGATTGACAGTGTTGGAAAAAGCTTTGGGACCCAGACTTTACATAATGATTGGCCAAAGAAAAGAGAATAAAGACACAGGAATATATATATATATATATATATATATATATATATATATATATATATATATATATATATATATATATATATATATATATATAGTTTATGCTCAAATAAGTTATTAATACTGTTCCACTTATAACTGGAATCCAAGGATATTTTTATTTTTTATTAATCTTAAGCAATTACTACTGAAATAATCTGATTGATTGATTCGTTTTCTACTGGTTAAAATCACCTTGCAGATCACCCACTGCCAGAAAATATTATTAGATTGCAAGAATTTTTTTCTTCTGAGATAATATTTTTGCGATACAAGTCTGGCTAAGTAACTCATAGCTGGAGTAGAAATGGTTTCATGCCTTTCCTAAGGGTATCTTCGCGTAAGTGAATATAATGAACTCGACTGGAATTGAAACTTGTCTCTCCGATTAACAATTCTGAGTCATTATTTATTACACCACCTGCACATTCTAGCTTACAGCACTTGGTATTACCAAGCGGTCACTCATCTAGGTTGACTAGGCTCGACGTTGCTTAAATTCGGTAAACGTACAGGAATCGGTATTTCAACGTGGCCGTAAGCTGTTGGAGTAATCTGACTAACAATAAAGCTAGTCAAATTACTAGCATTAGGAAAACATCCTAACACTGATCCTATTAGATCCTTTAAGAAAATTAACATTTTGACTTAATTTGTTGAAAAATGATAGTATTTTCATTGCAGACTACTGCCTTTTTAGTAAAGGTAACATAGTTTTTAGTATTCGAACGTCGGAATGAGTATATATATCAAAATATTGACACTGCAATAACATAAATGTTTAATTTTATTATCGTGGGTTGGTAATTTTTTAACGAATTGAGTGCTGAAAAGTCAGCTTAAGTATTAAAGCTCACTTGTTTCTGCGCATCTAAACTATTATTAAATTCATTTAAATGTGCTCATGATACTATCTACACACATATGCACAAACCTCTCTTCGATATCAGAATACCCCCTCCAGACCTCCTTATGTACCTTTGAAAAGATCATGCCTTCAATGGGAATGTCTTCACATAATGTCACAAAACCACACACACGTTCCATTTCGGTTCTGTCATGGAAGCAGACTCCACAATTATTTTTCTTGTCACTTTCACTTCAGAACTTGCAATTCCAAAGCCGGCCAATCGATCAACGCGATTGACGCGAAAGACGACCAAGATGAAGAATCAAGTGCTTTGGCGGAGGAATTTGCTTAAATGGTTCATTCGGAAAACATCAAAGCCATTTGGCAAATAGCCAGTTGTCTGACGTTAATTCTTCCCCCATACTCCTACGCCTTGGGCACCATTCGCTCATTGAGTTCCTTTAGTCGTTCCCCACCTGCAAAACATTCGTATATTTCTCCACCACTTTTTCGGGACTTCCTTTCAGTAACATTGTTATTCTGCAAAAAATCGTTATTTGCTTTATTATTTATTTTTATTCCTTAGTGTCATTACTTGACTCCTACTTTTGTACAGTGTCAGGAGACTTGCAGTGTCGTACATTGTAGGCATAATCAATTGAAGCTCTCTCAAGTTATTTACTAAACTACTTTTTAACTAGTGATATTTTCATGTAATTATACATATTATATTATTGCATTCTATTTACTATTTAACTGGTGACATTAACTAACATAGTACATATAAGATATGACGGAGTTATTTACATATAAATTAACAACTTTGCTTTGGATGCGAATATTTACATTCTACTTCAGACTAAATTGTCATTTCCAAGCATTTCTAGTAATGGCAAAATTAGCAGTTTACTTATAAGAAAACATTCGGAATTTGTTATGTTCCGACAATCCTCGTTAGAACTGTTATATTCCATGCTAAAGGAATAAATAAGTAACACTAGGTAGATACTAGAAGAAAAGTTTATTGTACACAACAAGTACAATATGAAATACGGTACAGTTATACGAGCAGATCAGTCTAGTAGTGAGTGCCGCTAATTGGTAGGTCGCACGTGCTTGCGTCCCCCCTCTCTCTCTCATAGACAGTAGGCGTTATAGGTACTTACTACCTATAGTGTAATTATTCATGGGGGTGCCAAGTTATTCTATTACATCAGAATTCATTAACTGATCAGACAGTTCAGTTCAGTGTTGAGTGAAATTTATATTATAACAGTTTTTCATGGGAATATGTTTCTCAAATTCACTATTTTCTGTACTGACCAGAGTTTCCTTCCTAACATTTTGTTTGAAGTAGTGTGGAACCTCGGCTTCTTCATTATGTTATTATTTCCTCTTGTAGTTATATGAGATATTAATATTAATCATTAACTCGAGAAAGTGTTTGCATACAATTGACAGATAAGTATCAGAAAAATATATGTGCAGACAGGGAAAAGTGTTATTATATACTCTCTCTCATTCGCATATATATCTATAATAGGTATGTATCTGACCACCTAACTCCAAGCAAAGCTATAATGCACATAGACGAAAGGAACTACTGAAAGAGAATATGAAGACTTTAGAGGGAACTGGATACCCAAGCCTA